ACAACTGACAGTTGCCAAAATACATTTTTGAGATTGAAATCATCAAAAACGTACAGGGCTTTCATAAATGATTACAAGCCACGTGACCAGTAATTTTGTTTGGTACGGTAATTTTATTTCCTAAAATTAAAAAGTTCATGTATAATTTTTTTTTAAACAAGCTTTTAGTGACGTCATTTTATTTTCGTATTCTTCTCAGCAAACCCTTTCATTTGATCCCCATCATATCATGGGGTATATAAAAAAATAACTGGTGCGCCATCTTTGGGAGTGCGCCATATTGGATTTAGAATGACGGTACTAGCTAGCCATGCATTGTCTTCCAAACTAAACGTGTATGCAAAATTTCAACACTCAATCGGTTGGGGATAACTGTTTTAATATTCAGTTGCAAGATTTGACCCATTCTAACAAGGCAAGTTAAATAAAAGCTTGTAATAATTATTGAAGCAATAAGCTCAAGATCACATTAAAACGCAACAGTCTGTTTCATCGGCTGTGATTGGTGCAATTTTTCACGAGATATTCAATCAATCAATCAATCAATCAACGATCGCATTATCTCGAGCGTCGCTTTGCCATTTGCTTTACTTTCTGAAATTTCAAAATTGAATCCCCAATAAAAAATAAATGTGCTCTTGTTCTATACATTTTTAGTCTCGGCAGGCTTAGTTTTTTAGAGATAGATATTAAAATTTAAAAAAAATCGACATCTTTTGTTAAATCTTAAGAATCTATAAATAGATTTCAATGGAATTCGATGTAGATTGTAGATGAAGAGGCTTTTAATTGGTAGAAATACTTCCACCACTTCTGCGAGATAATATGCCCCTGAATTTTTCCCAAGCCAGAACGCTATACCTAGTTACAAAATTTTCATCGCGGGGTACCGAGCATGTGCCCGGTTTTTTAAATTAAAAACCTGTAATACATCTAGCCACACCTTACGAAACACGAAATTACTTAACACTACATAATTACTTTTTAGATAAGCTTCCGGTGATTTAGTCGAAACTTTTTGTCGCGGCATTGTGAAAAAATACCATCTTGGAGTAAATTGCTTTCGGTCCGAGCACCAGCCGACCGTCAAAATCTCGGTCCCGATAATGGGAATTCATAACCACTACTCCGCCGGTCGACCGGAGGGTCCCTCGATAGTCGGTGCTCAAAAAAGGTAGCTAAATTACATTTTTGATTTGGTTTTTTATTTTGTTAGTATTTTTCATTCATCTTTAACGTCATTAATTTTCTCGGCAGTATCAGGTAGCTCTCAGGTCTAAATTAATTGTGTGTAGGATCGGACACCCGTTTGCGAGCTCTTCCCTCGTCTGCCGGCGGTTGTTTTCTCGGAATTTCCGGTTACCGAACCGAATTTAGATATGTGCCGACTATCTTTCCCAAAATGAGACTCCCGTGTCCGCTATAAACTTTTTAATAGTGACGTCACATACGACAAATAATAGGCAACAACAGAAAAACAATAAAAAATACTTGGTAGAACTAGAATATACCAAGATTAAATAAAAGAAGGGAATATACGCCAATGATGACAGCGATAACATATCAACAAGAGCTCACCTGCGTATGAGGCTATTCTTTCCGAGCATGAGCTTTAGCAATAACACGGCTAATTTTAAATTTTTACTTTATTTATACACTAGTGTATCTATTTTATGAAATTTGGTTGTTCTTAAATACATACGTAATAATAAATTAATTTGTAGTTGTTCATTTTTATAGTATATATGTAAATAGTACACAAGGGTCAGATTCGGTCCGTACAATTTCAACTATGACAATTTGTTGCGGGTTGTCTAAATATGTGACATCACACTGAGAGTCTATTGGCGAGCCACCTGGTGCTGAAAACGAAAATTAAACGGAGCAGTAATATTTTGTTTACATCACTGTTTCCAAACGTTTTTTTTATTCATTTTGGATAAAATTAGTTTGTAGTAAATAATAAATGATTGCGTTTTATTTTTTTATATTTTTGACCAGGCTAAACTGGACCGTTTTACGGGTTTCGTCCTTTTCTCGAAAGGAAAATAGTACTTCCGATGTCACGGGCTTCATTTTCGATAAAAATTGAATAGAGAAACTGCATCTCGATATGTTGATTCATCTCAGAGATACAGGATGTTATTCATTCTGATACTCTGTAACTTTTTTGTCTGTGGAAATATTCAACTTTCGTTTTTTTGCACATTTTTTTAAAGTAAATTACAACAGAGTATATGATATTTTTCTATAACTTCCGGTTTTTAAGGTATAACAGAAACTTTTACATTTTTAAAGGGAATACCTAATAGTTTTTTTAATTTTTGAAAATAATAATTATTGTTATTACTTTGTAAATCAGTTGTTGTTTTATACAGTTTAATGTACTGTCTATTTTTTTATTCTTCGATACGTCAAATACTTAATTGTCTAACAAAAACATCAAATTAACAAAAAACAAAATTTATTTCGAAAGTCAAAAATGTGAAAAATGTAATTATAACTGAAAGACCTGAAGTTGTAAAGAAATATCGCTTACGCCGCTGGATTCTACGTAAAAATCTGTGTAAGTAACCTCTTTACAGAAATCAAATATTTTCACAAACAAAAAATTTACAGAGCATCATAGAAAACGATGAAAATTGAAAAACGCCCTGTATCTTCTAAACAAATCAAGATATCGAAAATGCTATTTTCGTCATTCATTTTCTCAAAAATCGAGTCCAAACATCTACGTTTTTTCTATTTTTTCGTAAAATATGGGAGAACTTCCAATAACTTCAGATTTGGCCGTCCCTCTATATTTCTACGTATAATACGGAGAAAATTTTATTATTTACGACACAAATTGTGTATAAAATGACGTTCCGGAAAATTATTTCATAGAGCAATATAATTTAATTATTTTCCAAGATAAAGGTGCTAATTTCTAAATATTTGGACCTAAAATAAATGCAATATGTACATTGTGACCCAGAACGCATCGCTGACACCATTATAGGAAAACGGAAGGCGCAGATAGAAAATCGCAAATTAAAATTCCATAAATATCATGAGATTTTTCTCAGTACCTTTTATTAAAAAAGTTTTTCGATATCTCTTCCTGTTCAAAAGATACAAAATAATATATAGTACATATAGTACACTGGTTCCATAAGTCTGTTACTAATTCTATATCAAGGTACTTTCGATATATTTGTATTTATTATAGATTTCGAATTTTCCCGAACTTCCCCAACAATCAGAATTATACATATACACATTTTTAAGTGGGTATTCATTTTTTTTATAAATTTTGTAAATTTGCACAAAAATGATTAAAAAATGTTAACAATGAACGTAAACATTGCAATATCAAAATACTTTTTAAATAAAAGTTGCCACAAGACGGAGTGACATTTGATGTACACAAAATATTTATGAAAATTGAAAATATCATGTCGATAACGTTGAGGTTTAACTATTCTCAGATAAGATACTCTTATATGTAGTTCAAATAAATTCATAGACCTGTAACTCCGGTATAAAGATCAACCTACTACTATTGTGATATTTTCATCTTAAAACTAAAGTATGCTTTGTGCTCCGAAAATTTAAACATAACGATTTATAGAATATGCGTGTTCTTGTAGAAACAAATGCTTAAAAACATTACATACATTACAAACCATACATTCTTGTACATACATTAAAAGAACTAACCATTCAATCGAGTTCCGCATTTATTTTTTGGTGAAATTTAGAGACAAGGATTTTGTACTTTTTTGTTTTGTTTTATGGCAATCCAAAGTCAAATTGAATTCCAATTTCATTTATTAATAATAATAAGATCGGAATTCGGTATCCCCAGAGTATAATTATTTGTGTTGTGCAACTTGTTTATAACTATGGCGTAGAAATGCTGATTTTATAAATTTTTTGTTTTTATCTGCCAAACTGTAAAACTTTCTTCCTCTTATAGCGTTTTTGATTTTGTGCACCTTTCTCTGCCTTATTCAAGTTGAGTTGAGAAGTGCAAGTGTCTTAAACACTGTTTTCAAACTCTCAAGATTTAATTTTTTTTTAATTAACAACAGACATAGAAAAAAATACATATGTTATGTCTATCTTGTACAATTCTTTGACCGTTTAGTAGTCTAATCTAAAAGTTTATGTAGGTACCTACCTATATTACTAATTTTTTTAATGGCACATTGATCTTTTAATATTTTGAAACAGCTTTACTAACATACCGATGTTTTACGGTACGAATTTCAAGGGAAAACCCACATTTCTTTGCCCGATTATTACGATATTCATCACAAATCGTCTTTTACATAATAATGTAAAAATAGATCAGTATTATGACATCCTAATAAGAGACTGTGAAAAAAATTATGAAACCCTATTTAGGCAACGTCCAAGCAACTGTAAATGAAAGACTACAACTTGTTTTGTGTAAAAAAAACAAAAATTTTCATTAGGATGCAATTTTATTGTGTTATCTAAATTAATAAATAATGTTTCTTTTTATTTCTTTATAGAAATTTTCATGTAGTTGTCAGATTAAATTCTTAATAACTGCAATATCTATTTAAATTTAAAAAATTATAAGTAGGAAAATGGTCCTCCTTGTTGATGGCCATCTATTAACGTCTAATAGAATAAATATTTTTGACCTTACAGGTTTCTATTTAATATAAGTTCGTAATTCAAATAAAAGTCACAAGTGGGCTGACAGATAGGGAGTGAATGTAGCTCTGAATTTGTTATTGTGTTATTTATACTTTTTGCTAATAGGTGGCACTACGAATCACTGTTCTAAAATATAATTAATGTTTATTTATTTGTATAATAAATAAATAATTACAAATATCTTGTAGAACTATGTACAGAAAGATTTACTAATAAAATGACTACTTTAAATAATTAGCAGGCTACTTTAAATAATCTGCATATTTTGCATTTTTGCAAACGCAGAAGAAGAAGAAAAGCGCCTTAAAATTTGAGTTTGAGACGCCATGTTGAAGTATATTTTGGCAAGAGACGCTTATTAATAGAAGTTGATATTGATTTTCTCGCAACAAAACGCTGATATTAAGTAAATCCAAGAGATATCTCAGTCAGAAATGAATTCTCTACTTAATTATGGTAGCGATGACGACTGTGAGGACTCTTCAGAAGAAAAACCGATGGTATGTTTGTTTTTAATTCGTGAAATTGCTTTGAAGTAGACATCATTTATATCATATTGATCGTCTTGAATAGTTTTTACATTATAAATATTTACTGTTACCTTTCATCTTGTGAATAATGGTCTCACTTTTGACAAAGGATTGTTAACCCCCCCAGCCCAAGTAATGGCAAGATAGTCTTTGTCAGCAAAAAATAATTCAATAAAGGAGTTTTATGTATAGCTTACAAGTTTAGTTAATTTCACATACTCCAACGTTTGAAATTTTTCATCCTTCCGTTAATGTTACACTAAAGTCCTCTAAAAAATATATATTTGGGAAAAAGTCTTTAAAAGAACGGACAGACTTTTTCCTAAATATTTCAATGACAGTAGTCCTTGTGCCTATGTAAATTAATATGTTATTTGCCAAAAATTAGTCCGATCATCATCAACAATTATTGACAGGACCCGCACATGAGCGGAAGAAACTACCGGAAGCCCTGGTTGTTGAAGCAGGACGATGCCAACTACGACGAGGTGCAGATGAGTCTGAGCGAGGTAATAATAACAGATATACACCCCCTCTAATTGTTATTTTCTCTTTATGTGTTTTGTTAACAATTGATATAGAATTGTGGTTAACGATTTTTGCTTACGGGGTGTTTCGTTTACACTTCGAAAAACAGGGAGGGAGCGCTCGTCGTGAAATAATAGTGTGGGTAGTTCATATGTTTTTCTCGTTAATTTTGTGTTGCTGAGATACAGGATGTTAAAATTGTTATTGTAAACAGAATTTTTCTTAATTATCTTTAATTCTACTAAAAATGAAAACCGTGCAAATCATTTTATTCCCTATAGCAGCAATTTAAGGAAAACCCTCACACTCAAAATTTTAGTCATGTTTCCTCTATTAGAGACTGACATTTTGTATCACTATTATTCTAAAGAAGTGCTTTAACTAAATATGTATAAAAATATATTCTATAAAAACTGGTTAGTACCTAAAAGTGCAACATTGAATAGATTTTTTTTTTGTTTTAATTTTAATATTTATCAAAATTTAACAAATAGTATAATAAATTCATGTTATTGATTTAAAATTTACTTCTACCATTTTCTATACGCACAATTTGCCTTCATCTTTCTTGAAGAATATACATCTTATCAATTTTCATCTAGTGTCCTCCTTTTTTTTATATTATTCGTTTGGGTTTGCTTTGCATTAGAATAATTCATAAATTTTTACTTTTAACATATTTTTTTTTCAATACACCCATCAAATTATACTAGGCTCAGAAATTAAGGGATGTTAAAAAAATCACAAAATTTTGCCTGATTTTCAAAGATTTTGAAGGGAAATTTTAAACTGCAGATTGGAAAACTAGACACCCGAGGCTTCAATTTCCTTTTTTTTTTTTATTCTCTCTACCACCATTTCCCTCCCAAGTTACAGCTCTTTGAAAATCACCCAAAATTTTGTGATTTTTTTTAATATCCCCTAATTTCTGTGCCTAGTGTATTAGCATCCTTGCCACTGCTATTAAGAATAAAGTGGTTCACACATTTTGCTTAAAACAGTTGATATTTATTCTTGTACAAATTTCGACTATCTTTAACCGATTTAAAGACAATGAAGAAGAAAGTAACAACATTAAGACCTGTATTTCGGAAATACTTTAATAAGAAAAACATAAACTACTCTTTCTTTTTAAGTATAAACGAAAGACCCTGTATATATCCCGATTCTGCAATTTAGTAGCCTCAATCCTATAAAAAATTATCTTAAACGTCAAAATCAAATGTATTTTGTGGTTATTTAAAAATACAAGGTATCCTTTAACACGATTGACAAATTTTTATGGGATGTTCCTTGCTCAAAGTTAACATAAAAAGTTCCAATTCTGACTCCTTACGATGATCTAATGACTGGATTTTTTCAAAAATATCTTTTAAACCATTTGAAATCTGTACCAAAGAACCACACACCCAATATATGGGATTTTGGTTTCCCGTCAAATTGGTTGCAACCAATTTTTTTCAATATTATTTGACCTTTTGGATAAAAATTTCTCACGGGCACAACGCCCAAAAAAGCCTTCTTGAAGGTCTGGCAGTCGACGAGAGTTTGGATATATGAAAGATATGTTATTTCGCACCATACTTGATTATGGTAAACAAGGGTAATGGTGGCGCTGATTACAAATCCAAGGTCAACTAACCTCCATCATGACAGATTCAAGGTCATCTCAAGGTCAAATTGTGAAAAAAAACATTAAAAAAAATGTAAAACAGTAGGTACATAGGTTTTTGAGGTCACTGAATACAAATATCGGGTTCGCTTAAGCCTACAAGGTCACTTAGAGGTCATTCTAAGTCATTTCAAGACCAAACTGACGGTGATTAAGCGCAACTCAGAATTGAATTCAGCGACATCAGCCTTGCCTTAATTGGCCAGATTCCAACTTTGCCTTAACTGGCCGGGCCCCTCTATCCTAAGTCGATACCGGAAAATACAGCTGCGGCCAGCACAACTACATCCAGTGGTGGTGATACATGAGGTTTTAGTAGGTATGGCTACGGCGAGTCGCACATAACTGTGCAAACACCACCCCGAGCACGGGGTATGCATAAATGCATTTTCTCATCTAATAAAAAAAAAAATTCTCATTAACTGATTAGCGTCTAGCCTTCACTGACCTTGTCATAAAGTTCAATGTCACTGTAAAAGACAGATTCAATATCAGCATAAAAGGCCTTTCAAGTATATAACAATTTATCGTGCTCATCTTAATAAAAGGTTTTTTCTTTAGACAACTTAAAAATGACCACTACGTGACCTTGTAGGCTTAAGCGAACTCGATATTCGTATTCAGTGACCTCAAAAACCTATGTACCGACTGTTCCACATTTTTCTAATGTTTTTTTCACAATTTGACCTTGAGATGACCTTGAATCTGACATGATGGAGGTTAGCTGACCTTGGATTTGTAATCAGCGACTCCCAAATACTTTTATTTACCATAATCAAGTATAGTGATACAGCTTGTGCGAAATAACATCTTTCATATATCCAAACTCTTGTCGACTGCCAGACTTTGTAGGAGGCTTTTTTGGGCGTTGTGCCCGTGATAACTTTTTATTAGAAGGTCAAATACTATTGAAAAAAATTGGTTGCAACCAATTCGACGGGGAACCAAAATCACATAGTGGGTGCGTGGTTGTTTGATACATGTTTTTGTTAACTCGCAAAAAAAATGAGTTGTGCCCATGCCACATTTTTTTTTTATCAAGGTGACTAAACTTTGATAAAAAAATGTCAAATGTCATGTATTAATCCACCAGCAAACTATGAAGGTTGTGCGATAAGTACCTGGCCTTGACAAAAAAAACACGTTTATGTGTAAAATTTATTCAATTTTTCTATGTAATCAGCTTTCAGTTCGATACACTTAGTCTCTTAATACCGTTCAAAATAAGTGATCATTTCTGCAATGACCTTGTTAGTCATATTTTTTTTCTGCTGAGCCATTTTTTTCATATTTCGAATAATCGTTGGGTGTTAAATCTAACTCAAGGAATTTTGCCATGGTGACGACATAAGTGTGAATGCCTTCATTGTCTTGATGGAAGAGGACTTTTTCTTCGTCAAATGCGGACATTTTTCTTTTACAGGATGTAGGAAGAAAATTGACGTGAAAAAAGTGGCCATTTGCCTTCTTTGGTGCAGATTTGCCTCCGAAAACCCACTATTTAGACTGTTCTTTGGGGCTGTGATTAATCTGTTTCCTCAACAGTTATGAACCAATGCCAAAAATCAGTCCGATTTCGTTTTAACATAGCCAAACATTCTTTTGAGGTTGATACATATGTGTTTGTTGTCAATTGTGAGCAATCGCGGCACTTATCTTATGGAAAGCTTTTTCATATCCAAGTATGTTGTTAAAATACCTATTTATTGGGATGCCCACAGTCTGAGCAATATCACACGCTTTTACTCTCCCAATCATTTATGATGATATCGTCGATTTTTCAATCATTTCTGAAGTAGTAGCCTCATTTTGACGACCTGTAGGATCTCCATCAAAAATGTTTGTATGGCTATGTTTGATATCAGCTATCCAATATTTTATGGTTGATAAGGAAGGTGGAGAGTCCCCATAAACTTCACTGAGCTTCATTTTGATTTCATCGTTTGTTTTCTTTTTCAAAAACGAGTATTTTATCGCTTCTCTGCGTTCAATATTTTCCATTGTTGTAAAGTTACAAGAGTTGTTCTGTTTAAATTCTGGCATTCACAAAGTAACCCACCCAGCAACTTGATGATTTGACAGTATTGTTGTGAAAGGTTATATTTACGAAAAATATCACTTTAAATATGTACTTATTAGTAACGCCATCTCTTGCCTAGGCCAGGTACTTATCATACAGCGCTTGTATGAAAAAATGGGTTAAAAACTGCCTAATTTTTTAAGACTGCAAGTATGAGTAAGTATTTGTTACTGATAATTCAACTGACAGGTCATTTAGAATCTATATCTCCGTAACGAGTTGAAATTGACCCCCATTCCGTTTGAACTTATTTTCTTGTTAATTTTGACAAAGGAACACTTAATAATTGGCAGTTGAATTAAAGTATATCTTGTATTAAAGACATTTTAGTTTTCAAACCGGAACAGTAATTTTTCATCGTTTTGTGTTTATATTTCATTTTCTTACATCTAGTTTGAAAATTATTAACCTAAAATTGTAATGATGGATATTTCATTCCACTTTGATTGTAATCGAGTCGATTTTGTCGACGTTTGACACTGATTTTAGGTTAATAGTTTGTTGAACTCGGCCTTACAAAAGAGCAATGCCATTTTTGAAATAAACACACTGAAAACCACATTATTCTGAATATAAGTATAAACGTTTGATATTAACTCACTCTGTTAATATAAAAGATGTTGTATCGAGAGACAGCGACACTGAATGCCAATTGTGAACATCCTCGGCGACGTTTCGGTGAGTATCAGGATAGGGAAGGTGACAGTTTCTTTTTTTGTTTCAACACTTCTCAGGTAACAGTATGCTCAGTAGTCATTACTTTTCACGTTGTTGGTGGGCCGGTCATATTCGAGGGATATCAGGATGTCGCAGAAACTGCTACATAGAGGGGAAAAAATTATGCTGTGTTCAGCTTCATTCTCAAGGCAAATTCAACCGTCAAATCAGACAGTTTATCAATGTTTGGTATTGAGTTACAGGGCAATATTCATTTTCTTGACATTTTTAACCACTTCTGTGTCTTTCAGCTGCTTGATTGATTGTAATTAAACTAAAAACTGTCTCTATATGAACCTTTCTATGTAGATTCGATGGGCGGTACTAGTTTTTCGGTAAATTTCATGGAAATGGTGCTATGGAACGAACTTATAGGTTTATATTTTATTGAAATCATCATTGGCTATTGTCTAGACATTTTTCAGATATCCAATTGTTATTTCTACAAATGCTATATATTTTTTTTGTGAAGGAACATTTTCTTCTTTCCTTTCAAGTCATTTTCAGTCACTGTAAATTGCTTTCATACAAAATAAACCTAATAAAATCGTTTGCAGTATTTGTTGAAATAACCATGTACAGAGTGTCCAGGAATGGTGGATAATCTCTTGGATTCTATTAAATCGATAATCTGTACATTTTTATTTTGGGTCACCCTGTAGAATTATTAACTCAAAGAAATTGATTTTTTGTTGTAATATTTTTGGTTCTCATTAAATTTTCATAATATTTAAGCAAAACGTATATTATTTGAAGCTATTTCTATTAATGTATTCAATTTAGTAATAACTACTTTGGAGATATGGAGACAGAGTGCCCTGGGCAATTTTGACCTCCGCAAAAAAATTTGTAGACCAACTTTAAATTTTTATCGCTATTTTTAGGTATACTTTTTATTTTCAATAAACCTTTTTCGAAATAAACATGTTCAGCGACAAAGATACGTTAATATTTTTGTCACAATAGTTGTTGTTTAAGTCGCAATGACAAATGGCGAATGGCAAATGGCGTTTTTTTGCTGCATAAACAACAATTAGTTACATAAATAAATTTTATGATATCTTCATCTTTAACATGTGTATATCAAAACTGAATAATTTTATTGCCAATAAACAAGTATATCTTGTTTTACTTAAAAAAAATATGAAAATTTTAAAAACAGTCATAAAAATTAAAGGAATATGCCAATAAATCTTTTTGTGGTGGGGAATACATTGACGAAAATAACTTCAAATGACAGCTTTTACGAAAATTCAATGAGAGAACAAAAATTGTAATGAAAAATTAATTTTCAATAAAAAAATGTATAAACATAACATTATTTTTCTGTAAAACTTGCCCAAATCCGAGAGACTGTCTACCACATCTGGGAAGCTGAAAAAAATCTCTATTTAAAGCATAATCAATTACTTGACACTTGAATTTGTCTTGAGAATTGAGGTTGAGAAAGTGTCATTACTCTTTTCTATCTTTAGTCGTTTCTACGATACCCTTAAAATCCCATTGAATTTGACTCGTTCTGTATTCTTATTACATTGACAGAATTGCTTATAATAAGAAAAAAAAATCAGTATATCTAAATTTCCAGCGTTTTAAGAAATAATAAAAAGTTGATTTTCCTTTTTCAAAATTCTATTTAAAATATTATTTATTTTTACTGTTTTTGATCCATTCATAGAAATCGGTATTATAGAAACTACATTACTCAAAACATTCTATTCATTTTTAAGACATAAAAGCAGGTTGGTTTTAAATCTTAATATTTTAAATCAGGATTGAGCTGAAATTCTTTATATTATTTTGTACATAGTTGATGTTATAATATTCTCAGACTAAAAATAGGAAAAAAAAAGTTTGAACATGAGTCTAAAAACACTTAATTTTTGACATACAGAATTTCCCATTTTATACGTATGTAAGAAAACAAATAATGAAATAATTTTTTTATTAAATTGACTCTAAAATTGCACATATTTAAGAACTGTAACTACCTCGGAAGTGCAAATCCTAACACGGCTACCATCTTTTTTTTAAATTTAGCATTTTTTTCTCCAGTATCTAATAATTATAACATAATATTATTGTACACCTCTTAAGATACTTGTGTATCAATTTGTATAATATTGTGTATCTACTCATTTTTAAAATTCGTATTTTATTAGTTTCATTATATTTTACCCACATTTTTTTATAACTCTAAAAACAAAAAAGTTAATGGGGGGCTCAAAATATAGTGAATCACCCTGTACATATATCTGATATCGTGGTATACTTTCATTTGTCTTTAATTTTACCTGAATTAATATTGAAAAAACTCAATTTTATATTAAAAATTTACAATCTTACACAATCAAATCTTTAATAATTGGAAAAAATCACACTAAACGATTTCAAAATAGACACCTAAAAAAATCCTAGACAGGCCTAGAATTTGCAAATTTGGAGGAATTATGGATTACATATACACATATTCTTAGGTCTATAAAAAACTATATTTGAACTGCATTTTCTATTTTACTTTTTATCAGGACTTCCTGTATAGGCTGATGAAGTTTTATTTTTTTTAAGTATTTACCTACTTCTCATTTATTTATTTGTTTTTTTAATACATTCAACTTTTTTTTTGTGGACTAATGAAATTTATGAATTACGTTGCGACGTGCATATTTTCAGCAAAATGTGTTAAGAGCTAAAATTAAAATATGCAAGACAACTCTTAAAATGACTTAATAAATTGATTAGATACAAGTGCATTAGTCCATACAATGCAGAGAAAGAAAATCCTTGCATACCAACATATTCAATGAAATGCATGAATTACATTGCGACATGTGTATATTTTCTACAAAACGCGTTAAGTTCTGCACATTCGACAAATCGAGATCAAACCGCATAATCTGGTTAAAAATATCCCACTTATTTTCTACAGAAATGTGACTGTTCAAGGTAGAATTAAAAATAATTGTAGTAATACTTAAATAAAAAAAAAAACAAGAAACAGTTTTCCACTGACCAATTTGATAAAATTCACAAGTCGTAATTTGAAGGAGCAATGACGATATGTGATATGTCAAATGTCATAGCTAGTGAATGCCTACTGACAAAGAATTATTTTGTACCAAAAGTCGACCTATTGTAGGTACTATGAATGCATCACTAGCAATGCTTCTGTAGTACCTATATATTGGTAGGTCACTCTCCGCTAGTAGAGGGAATAATGTTTTGCGTGAGTAGGCATGACATATAAAATGTGAGATATACTTTGTAGGTTATATCTGACACTCAAAACATCGGCAGATAGGCATCCAAATAACATAAGTTGTTTGTCAATAAGAACTATTAAGTTCGAAACTGGTGACTGGTATATGTCAAGTAATTTATCTGATTAATTATTTACTAGATATGGAGGGTATAATAACATACAAATGCACGATGGGACATTTAATCTATAGATTAGTTGTCCAATATATAGTTGAAAACACTTCCGACATTCCTTTTGCAAACTTTTACTTTTAGATCTTGTGAATTTCTTGTAGCTGTTTGAGTGACATTCGTTAGAATACGAATAGACTTTTATGTCTTTAACATGATCATATTTTTTTATGCGGTTTGTAGGTTACCTTTAATTAAAAACTAAATAAAATAGTTTCAAGTCGTCTAACATATCTGACCAACGGATAAGGCTGTGAGTACTAGATAATCTACTAGAAAATCTACAAAAGAATAATTAAAAAATATCAAAACTATCACTATGTGTCTGAAAATGAATTAAGTTTTTTTCTTATTTTTGGTCAGGAATCAGCCATACAACTATATCATTAAAATTTTAATTTAAAATCGTTTCAAACAATCGCGATATACTTCAGTCGTTTTGTAAAGCTCCTTGTATTTCTAATTTTTGAAAAATACGATTTTATTAAATCTGCCTCTAGTTTTCAAGCTGAGCATTCAAACCGACCACTAACACCCAACCCCCCACTACCGAAAACCTACCCCTAAGTAAAACGAAACTCATACGTTCTCCTGTTCGTTAGATGCATTGGTAAAACCCGCATAGGTAAGAGAGAATTTTTCCCCCAGGACTCGAACGACGAATCGAAGACCCCCAGGGAACAGCAGAGGAGGCAGCAGCAGTCCCGTGGCGACGAAACGCGCAGGGACTTCGCCCGTAAGTGGGACGTTCGGGACAGCCCTAAATCAAGGGATGAGGCCAGATCTCATAAAGAGAGAAAGGACGAGAGATACGCCTCGAAAAACGAGAAAGAAGACGATAGATCTAAGCAGCGGGAGGGCAGCAAGGAGGACGAACGTACCAGGGACAGGTACCGCTCGGAAAAGGACGACGAGCGGTCCAGAGACAGGAGGGACGAGAGGAGGGGGAAGTCTAGGGAGAGGTACATGCTTATGATCATTTTTATACAAGGTATAGGGAAATTAATGAGCAAAAAATGTACAGAGTGATTCTCGGTGGTGTAAAGGCGAGACAGTTCTCAACGTGCACTTACTGCGAATGTTTGTTAATGAAAAATTAATTCTGCACGACCGTTGATTTTGGAAACATAACGGGAAAACTTTTTTCCGGTTTTCTAAAATTTTGCGTTACCAAAACGGTATGCCGCACTTTAATAATAATTTTTTTAAATATTATTTTCATTTGTGCTTGGTGAAAATTTTAGAAAAACAAATTCTCAAGCATTTTGCAATACTGGACATTCTTAAAAAAAAATTACGGTCCGTGTCTATGACAGTTTTTGGAAAAACTCGGCATTAAGAGTTACGTAATCTCAAAGTTATTTATGACTTACAAATAGCATGGGATGCTATTTTTCATAATACTATTAGTTAAAAATTTTATTTCGCTTATTACGATACCAATCGTGTGATCATAGCACATATGGATTAGTAGGTCACTTTGTGTCAGCAGGTACATGTGCCATGAGAAGTAGGAATGACTTAAAGCTACAACATATGCTTTGTAGGTTATATCCTACCAATATGGGATTAAGTATGAAAAACAAGAAATTAGGGGGTAGAAAGTAGGAGTTAGGATCAGATATTTGTTTTGAAAGTATTATATACTATTCGATAAAAAGTATTCACTGAGTAAATGTTATTTTTAATTTAAATTAATAATAAAATCTTTTATTTTATTTTAATTTTTACCATTTACTATGCGGAATACAATAAAAACCTATAGTAGGATCATATTCGATGCAGAGCAAAAAATTATGGGTTTTATCAAAGGCAAATTGTATCATCATTTTTAGGACGCATAAGATGAACCATTTCAAATTTAAAGTGGTCGGTAATACGTCAAATGTTAACCTAGCGAGCTTGGTACTAAATCAGAAATCACCTCCAAAAAACAAGTGACACATACAGAGGTGAAATGTAGTACATATGTGGAATTTAAAAAACAAATTGGATTTATAATAAATTACATTTAAAATAAACAGTATATGAGAATAAAGGGATTTTTGTAGGAATTGGGTGCCACAACATTAACGATCCTTCATCCCTTCATAATGCATAAAGAAATTATTCAATTTCTAAACTCCTTAAAACCGTACTGCACTGGATCCTTTGGTAGGCAATGATTTATTACTTTGCATTGAATATGATCCCACTATAGTTGAAAATTTATGTTTTTACAAATACACCTTTGCAGTCTAGATGGTATAGTTGTTACAATATCAGTTGGAACCGCATAAAAACATTTAACTCGTAAAGTTGACGGAATCAACAGGCGTCCGGAAAAATTTTGTCTTGTGTCGTTTAGAAATACTATATTCCGAGCTATATTCCTATTTAGTTGACGATATTCTCGAATTTTTTGTAAATAATCTTCCCGAAATGCAACTATACATCGTGATTCCATAATTACCATACGATTGTCAAGTTTTTTATGTTTAAAACCGCATTGTAATAAATCATGTAAAGTATCTAAAGATTTATAATCGGGATAATCGCTAAATTTATCTCGAATCATGTTTAAAGTAGGAACTTTATTTTCCTTATACATATTATAAATTGTGCGTCAATATTCTTTAATTTCGTATTTTTCCGTTTCTTCTTTGTACTGTGATTAATAACGTCTCCTTCTTTAATTACGCGATAAATTGTCGTTTTTGATATCTTAGTTAATTCGCTAATCTGTTTCCTAATTTCTTTCTCACATTGTTCACTATTTTCTCTTTTCAAACATTCATATATATTTAAAATAATACGTTGACTTGGTACGTGTAAATCTTTGTTTTTAAACTTTGAGTTTGTTTCGACACTTTGGAGAAAAACCGGCTTGACTATTTGGAGATTTTCCCTGGTTATTTCGTTATCTTCCGTTTCAAAGGGTCTCCAGAAAGCCATGCTAAATTACTAGATAATTACATATAATATTTATTTTAATAACTATTACCCTTTACTGGTTACGATATGAACAAATATATCTAATAATTAATAATACGTATTATACCAACAATAAATGTACCATGCCAAGCATTGCTCTCTGAGGCACTGACAAAGCCAAGTGAACCGCGTTCGACACCAAACTAATTATAGAATACCATGCAAAAAATGATTTATGACCTAGTGGACCAATACAGGTTTGCTTTGACGACCAGAGCGTCGCTGTCATCAGGTGGGGACTGTCTACCAATACTGGACTCGCCCAATGGCTATTCGAGTATAAATTACGAGACACATCATGGCTAAAGCATATGAAGAAATTTCAAGAGAACTGCAGACGGTCCTGCGCTTTCAGATTCACAGGTTCCAATTGATATCCTAACAACTATACCATATCGTTTGACAGAATTAGGCCCGGTACTTCGAGTCTCGGTTAAGGCTTGATTAACTAATCACACGATAGACTGTGAATATACTTTTATAAAATAAATCAGCATTTTTGGCTGGAAAACGGAGAAAATCAAGGAATTTGGCAAAAGTGTTTTTTATGGCAAAAAAAACGTTAACATTTTTTAGATACAACAGAGACGATAGGTACAGAAAAGATCGTGACAGAAGGAGAAGTAGGTCACCCAGAGAAAGAGACAGGAAGCGTAGCAGATCGCCCAGGAGGGACAGATCGAGGTCGAGGTCTAGAGATAGAGGCGGCAGAGGGGGCTATTCTAAGAGATACGATAGGGGCAACAAGGAACGATTTGATAGAACGGGTAAGTTTGTGCCTTCGCCTATCGGTTCCTTCGTTTGAGAATTGCATTAATAAAATCTTTCATTGCCGAACATTGAAGGAATTCAACGAAGGTAACGAAACAAATTTAACATTTTTTTACAGATCAACAAAAGAACGAGGAGAAGAACGAGAACAAGGACAGGTTCTTCGTGCCCGGCATCACGGGTCGCTTCAGAGAACAGATCGAGAAGAGGAAGCTATTGTGGCAGAAGAAGGAACCCGAGGCACAGCTGCCTGCGGCGGGTCCCCAGAACCCAATCGCCGGCGGTTCCAGGATTACAAAAGTGTGGGAAGCGACCACCTTCGCTCAGGACACTGACGGTAAGTTGTTTTTATCATGTGATACCGTCTTTCTTGTAAAAAAAAAAATGTAAAGTAATAAATTTAGTATCGTATTCTCCAAAAAACAGAATTGTAGAGAGTGTTTACCGTTTTATTTGCATAAGTGGTTGAGGATGGTTGTTTTTTCCGTTTCAGGTAAAGTGGCCAATAAGTTCAAGAGGCTGATGGGCATAAGGAGCGTGGGCGAGGGCAGCAATGTGGGCACGGATGTGCTGAAGAAGCAGGAGGAGATGTTCAGCTCGATGGAGCAGCAGTACGAGGTGGCGAGGACGGCTACACACACAATGAGGGGCGTCGGCCTGGGTTTCGGGAGTTACCAGCGATAATTGTGGGGTTTCGTTTTGTATTTATGTAAATTTTCAAGTGGTTGATACTATGTATTCGAGGTGTGAATGATATTTGTATAAATTTTTCTTTCGTTGCAAAAAAATCATCGAAGATACAGATTGTTTTATTTATTTCTTTATCAATATTTGAACTAGTTAATATATTAAATAAACTGCGCCTGATTACTTATGCAACTAATTATTAGTAGTAAGAAGAAATTAGACAATCAAAAAATCGAAAGATTGTATTAATGGTAGCTCGTAGTTTGATAAACAAAAATAGATTCGTTAAATACAAGCAACCAGATATACAATGCTCTGCATAAGTAGTTGCGTCCATATTTCAAAATATTTTGGCAACCAAAAATATCAAACATTGTATTACTGGTTGCTCGCAATTTGCAAACGAGTCAGTCATTGCTCCTGAAGTACAGGCAACCAGGTATACAAAGCACTGCAGGTGTGTAAAACTGAATCTGTCCCTCTCCAGCTCTTGTGATTTTCGACTGTTTTGTTCGACGAAAGCTCTAAAATAAAAAATAACCATCCTCGCACGTTCAGTCCCTGCAAATACATACCGAGCTACCTTTAAAACGCTACTTTCAATTTTGGAATATTTTCATGGATTACAGATTGTTCCAGCAATGTGAGAACACATTAGGACAGCAGAAAGTTGAGGAGGTATTTTGCTGCTCCTGTTAGAAAACAGTGTATCATTCGCCATTATTCCATGGCTAGAAATTGGCCTCAATGATTTGGGATCGAGGGGGATTATCCCTCTTTATCCTGCCTCATCTCGTGTAGGCCTGGACAGCCTTCGTAGGTGGGCCCCATCCGTCGTCTACCCCGACCGCAAATGCGGCCGGTGTAGGCGCTTTGTGGGACCTCCTTTTGTCCTGGCTGGGCCCCGCCGGCTAGGGCCCTTTCTTCTGGCGCTCTTCTTGCTTCGCCGGCTCGTCTGTGTAAACCCCGGGGGTAGTGTCATGTTTATG